GGGGCCCAAATAGCTCCCCCAGAGACTCCCCCCGACTCCTGGAGCCACCGGAGAAGGGAACCAACTTGAATGAGTTAACCCGCTCAATACTTATCCAGCTTCCTCGTTAACTTGTTAACCATTAGTAGTCAAGTTAATTTGGGTTAAGGAGCTGGCCAAGCTAACAAACTCGTCATCCACAAAACTTTAACTTAACCAGTCGTTTGCTTCAACTGAATCAGATCTTACGCATCAAAAATGTTTTTAATATAACTAATCAATCAGGTAAGTAGTCTAACTAGATACCTGCTCAGGTAATCAGATAATGAATCAAATTAGTTATCGATTCTACCAGGAAATTTAACCAGTCTGAGAGCAAAACCCGCCTATTTAAAAAAAAAAACTATTTAAAAAAAAAACAATTAAAAAATCAGTTAAAAATCAAGCTAATTGAAATAACTGAAAATGTAATTAAATTGGTTTTTCATGACTAGCAAACTAGCTATCTCCAATTCCTTAAAACCTAAAAGCAACTTAAGCCCCTCAAACCAAGCAGTCCGCTAATTAACACAGCAACTAATCAGATAACATATCTATTCGGTTAAAAACAAAAATTAACCAAAATTAACACACACTACTCAGTCAATTCCTTCAGTAGTTGGCCAACTAATAACTAATGAGATCATTTTTAAAAATCAATAACTAATTGATCAGAATAATTAGCCCGCAGGCTAACTTCAGTTCTTTTTCAATAATCAATCAGTTTAATTAATTATCTATCTTCTTAGATATTCATTAAAAACACATTTAAGGTGCTGCAGGGCCTCGCTGATAAGGTGCACAGGTGACCTTTACGGTCGATAAATAAATTTGTTCAGTTATCTGACTTGCCCCAAATCACTGTTTTTAAGGGATAACGAGCAGGATAAGTGATTCAAGCGATAATTAGCCATGAAAAACCAATTTTTTTATTAAATTAATTACTGCCGGTGCCCACTCACTGGTGGTCCTTGTGCGCGTTGAGCTGGCAGTCACGGCAGGTGAGTGTGTCACACGTGTCGCAGAAGAGCACCAGCGGCTCGTGCTTGTGCACAGAGCAGTACACGGCGCGCTCCCCCTCCTTCGCCTTGCCGCTGCCTGCGGGAAACGCGGTGTGACACCACCGTGATGACACCGTGACGTCACCGGCGCCCAGTGGGACCCGCTGGCAAGAGCGGGTGTCTCGCTGGGACAGGCACGGCCACCGCCGCGGCGCCTCCAGACGCGACCAGGGATGCGCCGGCCGCAGCGCGGTGACAAGGACGGACCTGCGGCCCGGACCGTGTGGTCCTTGGTGTACTTGACCCGCTGGTGGGCTTCCACGCAGGTCTCGCAGAGCGGTTCCGAGCACTCCACGCAGTAGCTGGTGGCCGGCGCGTTGTCCTCGCAGCTGGTGCAGCACTGGGGGACAAGAGACCCGGCGTGGGGACACCGGGCCCAACCAGCCACGGGGAGCTCACTTCACTCTAATTAACTGTTCGTTAAGCGTTAACGACGTGTTACCTGACTGGACCCCTGGCTGGTGGCGGCCGCCTCGGCCCCACTGTCCCTCAGGAAGTAGTTCTCCACAACATCCTTCAGGTGACACTGGTGTTTGCAGATGGGGCAGTCGAACACTGCGGGGAGGGGAGCGGTGGGTGGAGGGAGGGTGTCGGGGGGGAGCCCAGGGTCACCCCAAACCCCGGTCACCACCGTTTGTCACTAGAGAGTCCCCTCATGGACCCACACGGTGCCTTGCGCCTGCCAAAAACACAGTGGCTCGTTAGCAGGGTGGGCCGCTAACGCGCTCCAGCGGAGAAGGAAGAAACCAGCAGATCCGGGGTCCTGACGGTGGCATGCAGACCTTGGAGACCTCCAAAACTGGAGCCCCACCATGGCCCCAGGGCTGTCCCTGGTGTCATCGCAGAGGGGACAGCACCTCAGGGGATCCCTGCTCCCAAAGCAGGTCCAGGTCACCTATGGCTTTTTCCAGCCAAACCACCAGGTAAGGAAGTTTCTCCCGATATCCACCGCAAACCTCCACGGCCACCGTTTCTTGCTCGGCTCCGTCATCCACCTTCGCAGCAGCCACTGATTTACCCTTCCTCCCCCCCGCCTCAGGAGGCGGCGCAGCAACAGTCGAGATGCCATCTCCCACAGGCGGTGGCAAGAGGATGCGACGCTTTTGATCTCTCCAGAAGACTCCCCGCAGAGGTGGAAGGGCGCGGAGACGGCGATGAGGAGCCGCGGCGGT